TTAGTCTGAGCCTTCTGCACGCCTTGATAAGTGAACTCGTACTGCTTTCCATCAGAAGAGTCATACTGGTTTGAGGCTTGCATCACCTCTATCTACATCTGTTAGTCGAGGTGATTCTTCAGGTTTCTCTCCAATACTGAGTTATGAGTACTATAGGAATCGACACGGGGAGAGTGTCGTAAAAAAGATGGGTACCTTCTACCGTTGTGGATCTAGCGAGCACTTTCTGAGGAATTGTCTGCATCTAGCCTCTGTCGATCGGACCCCGCTTAGACTCCTATACGTTCTCAGGCTTTTGTTAAGACTCCAGCTATAAGTCACAGCCAGGGTAAGACTTCTGGATATGTTTATAGGATCGACAATAGAGGTCGATCATAGAGTACATGACCATCTTTTCTGAGACTAAATAGACTGCCATTGTCTACGCAACCCAACGTTTTGGTGATCGAGTTGAGCCAATGACTTCTGTAGATATATTTATTGTTATTTATCTTTCTTGACATACATGTCTTATAACGCTCTTTCTATATTCGAGGTTCGTATCTTAAGACCCTCAGATTTTTCATTTAAGGCATTGAGATCACTGTTTTCGTTCCGAGTCTAGAAAGATTTTCTGTTATTGTCAATAGAGTAATTAGCCTTTGTCCTCTAAAGGAACCACTAGAAATCTAGGTTCTGTTTTCTGTTCGACTCGGATGAATTTCGAGGATGAATTTTTTTAAAAGGGATGAGAGTTGTCACACCCCAAATTTTAATTTAAAATATATTTATTTTATTTAATTTAATAAAGGGGCCAAAATGGACAATTTTGAAAAAAAATTTGGGTTAATCTCGTATGTTTGGGAAGTTTAAGGACTTAGCCCTGAATTTTTCCTTTTTGGGTTGGTAGAGAAAATTAAAAAAATTGAATATGTGTGGCTAAGGAGTTTTGAGCCCCTGACCTATCGCATGACCGACCATGCCCCTACCAATCGGACTAGGCTACTATTTTTTATTGGAAATAATAAAATTTTATTTTATATTTAATAATCTGGGTGTTAACCTATTTTTTAAACCCCCTAGTGCTCGTGAAATCCCTAACTCTGAACCCATTTTTCCCCAAAAAAATAAATTCCATCGTATTTTCCATCTCCAATCCAACCACCTTTGGTCGGCGGTGGAGTATAATGTCATCGCCATTAGAGTCGATAACAATCGTCGACCTCAACCTAACCCTCAGATCGCCTGAACCAACCAACGTCGCGTCTTAATAGCAAAGGACCTTTCGACCACCTCAATGTTGATCTTCACCACCGCTAATTGGTGTGAGTCACCGCCGCTCCGATCTGATATATTTGGTCGTTGCGATTGTAACCCAGATGGCCACTCATCGTGTTTCTCAACCATTCGTTGTGGAGGATCGATTGTGGATTCATCAAAATCCAAAACATCTCTGCTCTTATCTTTCTAAATTCGGGTCGAGCCCAACTTCAGTTTGCCTCACTACCCCAGCACTATTTTTCTCGACCATCTCTGACCAAAACACAACTAGGTGGTCGTTCAATGATGCTCCTCCATTCGTCTGCCATTGGGTAAGTCCCGATATTATTTTTCTCAATTGTTGGTTTTGATTTTTGATTAATTTGGGTCTGATATATGTTGGAAATGATGTTTTGGTGATCTCAGAGTGCTCGGCTGCCGCCCCTGACCCCGTCGTCACCTTTAAGCACCGTCACATGCTACCGTGTGCGCGTGGGGCTTTTCCCCGATCTTGGAATCTCCTAGAATCAATTCGAGTCAACTCGAACTGATTTGAGTTAACTCGGACCGAACTGAGTCAATGTGAACCAACTTGAGTCAACCCGAATTGGTTTGACCAGTCAAACTATTCTGACCCATTGACAGTTGACCAGACTCTTTGACTTTGACATTGACTTTTGACCAATTTGACCGTTAACTTTGACGGAAAAGTCAAAAAATTGAAAAGTAATATTTTATATTTTTCGATGTTATGAGTTCAAATTTGAAGTCCATTTTGCCAAATTCGAAGTCCATTTTGCAAAATTCAAACCTGAAAGCCTCCACACTCAAATATGCGTATGTAATTTAAGTATTTATTTAAGTGTATTTAATTTAAAGGGTCAATGACTAATTTGTGTTATCGTATATTTAAGGTACCCATGATTCCCTGATCGCTTGTCTGCTCGACTTAATTCCTCCCGATCCGCTCGACCGTGAGAGCCCATAATTAATCGTATAAGTTCTACAACCCTATTAAATACTCAGTGTAGTGTACTACTCTGATAATAATTTTTTTCCTGAAATGACTTAGGTCCTCATACAGTCGAAGAACGTAGTGAAACTAGTGCTCGATAGATCTACAAGGATGATTCTTTTTCCTAGGTGTGTTCCTTCTGTTATATATATATATATTTTAAATACTTGTTTAAAAAATCATGTGCACATGATTGCTTTACCTTAATTGCAATATGGCTAGCTGATATGATTTAATTTCACATGATTTATTTGTTTCAAGCATGATTTCTGATTTATTGAAGTATTAAGTATGCTTGTCTGATTCATGTTCCCTAGTTACTATTTTTGCTGAATTGATATATGTTTTAACTCTGATTTCATTGCTACTGTTAGTTACTATTTGAAAACTAATCTCTTCAGGGTACTTTGAGATCTAGTATGAAGTCTATACAAGTTCAACTTCGATGAAACTGTAATTCCTTATAAGGTTCAGCACCAATCAAGCTGGTAATTCCTTAAAAACATAAGACAAACCTTGGGTGGGCTCCTGGGCCCAATGGACCTAGTGGTAATACCTTATGAACCCTAATGTACTCCTTTAGTATGGTTCATCTGCTTTATGCATTGGGTAAGTCCTTATGGTCCTGAGTGCACTACCCTCATGTGGGCACCTACGCTTAGGCTAGGGTAAGACCTTATAAACCCAATGTGCTCCCTTAGGTTGGCTCCTACGCCCTTTGGGCCTAAGGTAAGTCCTTATGGATATAGTTCTGGAGAACTGCATATGGAGTATGGTTGGAGGGTGATTTTGTATTTTTAAACTAAAAACTATCGACGTTTCATGACTTTAATAATGAACTGATTTTTGGAAACTTAACTATATGTTTTATTTCTGTACTGTTGGAAAACACTGAGCTCCCTAGCTCACTCCCCCAAACTCTTCCCTTTCAGATACTTTTTGGATAGGCGACCTAGACCTGACACTTAGAGGATTGACACATTCGTACAATATCATTTTGTTGTAATATTTTTATCTTTCAAGTTGCATTTATTTTGGGTGACATGTGCCGATATTTTGAAAATACTTGTTTTACGACGTATATTGCTTTTGTTATTGATGTTAGATTTGCTTCGATAATGATTATGGAATATTTTATTTTACTCGGTCCTTACGAATTTATATTACTGGAATTGAACTTTAATGTTATCAAGTATATTTTAAAGATGTTTATTCATAATATGGTTTTAAATTATTGAAAAATGTTTTGGAAAATTCTATCGTAATCTGCTAGATTTGGTCGTAATGCATAGGTCGGGTCTATGGGGTTACAATCAACGTTGGAAAGATTCGGGTCAAAGGGCTATATTGGGTTTACTTCTAACTTTGAGGGTGACATTGAGTGCAAAAATAATTCGAGTGTCACATTAGTTTTTTGAGAAAAATACAAGGGCCTTGGATACTTTTTTTCCATATTAATTTGACTTTTGAATTCAACCAAAGTCTTTCATCCTCGGTCACCACTCACTACCGTAGTTACATATCATCGTCGATCGTCATCGACCTTCGACGCCGTCGATTGTTAGACCTCAAAATTTCTAATTCACACCTTTTAAAAATTATCTATTTTATAACATTAGTTATAATTTAAAATAATAGAATAAATTCTTAATATTTTAAAATTATATTAATTGAGTGTTGTCATACAAACAGGTTATTGGTGTTCCTTTCATACGTTTGAGCTTTTTATTAGCATTACTAGTGAAGTTTTGAATATTTTATCATTCAAGTGTTGTTTTATCGTATTATACGTCAAATTATTCATGTCATATGTAATCTTTGAATAGTTTGTCACGTGGGTTACACGTGTTAATATTTTTTATTAACGAATCTCACCACTAAAACTAGGAATTATTGAATAAAACTAACCTTACTTTTCATATTAAATACAACAAAAAAATAAGATGCGGTAGTTAATGAATTGAAATAAACAATTTAAATAATGTTACAAAAATAAAGAAAAATTAAAAAAATTTGTTACATATATTAAACTTTAGTTTAGCGTATATTGCTCTGATCTTTTATCCTAAAAATTTAAGGGATTCTGTCTCATTAAAATTAAGACAATCCAAGTAAATGGTTTCAAGGGATTCTGTTTTTACATATTGTCTTTAAAATTTTAAATATATATTTTTTTAATCAAAATGTAACGAGACTACGCGTTGTTGATAAACTCAATATATTTTTATGAAAGATCACAGTTGTTAAATAGACGCAGAATGAGACATAAATAAATACGGGATAAACCGATGGTCCTGTCAGTAAATTTTGGTTTGTAATAGTTCATTATCATATAATTACCTAAAAAGCAGGAAATTATGTAAGAGATGTTATCACTACGATGGGTTCCACATATGGTAATTATGAAAAGTAATATATTCCTATTATGAAGGCAAAAATCAAAATCTTTGATTTATACCCTTAATTGATCATTATAATCATATTTAATGAATCAAGATTATTCAACCCCTAACTATTTTCCCCTCTATAAAACCCAAAATCAAGGGCATTATGTTTCTTTCTAAACAGATATAGACCAAAGAAAACCATCCCAGTTTTGAGGTAAATTTCTTAAACACTGGTGAAATTTTCTATTTATTATTCTGTATATTACGTTGTGTTTTGAATGTTATTTTCTGTCACGTATGTGATCTCTTTGTTGTTCTAAACCTTTTTTTTTTCTTTTTGGATTTAAAGATATTCGAAAATGGGTCGTGGAAAATTGAATATGAAATTCATTATGAAAGAAAAAGTTCGAATCTCGACGTATGAAAAGCGTAAAAAGGGTTTGCTGAAAAAAGCCGAAGAATTCTCAATTCTGTGTGGCGTTGAGACGTGTGTGATTATTTATGGTCCCAAATCGAATGAAAGTGCCACAAAGCTCGAGATATGGCCGCCGGTTCATGCTGAAGTGATGAACGTCATCAACAAATACAAAGCGAAGCCCTTGCACGTACGCGAAAGAAAATGCTTTAACGTGCTTGATTTCTTTGCGATACACCAGAAGAAGCTCAACGATGAGATTTGCAAATTGCGGAAAGCTAATAGAGAAGCCAAGTTTACTACTTGGGATGATCGTATCAACACCTTCTCGGTCAATCAACTTTCGGAACTTCTGGTGAGATTAGAATCGAACCTGGAAACTGCAAAGAATAGGATCAAGATGATAAAGGGAAATCAACAATCTTTCATTGAAGATTCAAAACCTTTTATTTTGGGTGGTCCTGAAACCCAGGTAATCCAACCGACGCTCAACTTATATAATCAAGCCCGATCCTCGTTGTTCCAGAAGAATTTGGACATGGAAATAATAAAGCAGCAACAACAACGACAACAACCCATGTTTACCGTGCCTTCATATCACCCTTTTAGCTCCAGTACAGAGGCTCTTCAATGGCAGCCTTTCAATCTAAACACTATTGAGAATCCGATGACAATGTTGCCCCCCAATGGTACTTTTGATTTCACTCAAATAGGTGGAGAATGTAGCAGCAATATAACTCAAAGGTCACTATCACCACCACAGGCTTTTAATTATGATCCGGCAGCAGTTCAAATGGTCGACGTTTTGAGTAACCCTTGGCCAGGAGTCCCGATTTGCTTTTACGGTCAAATTATGCCGCAAATGACACCGTTTGTGCAGCCTTCCATGTCCAGCTTTCCTGCTCAGTTCGACGAGACGTATCGTAATGCCGGTGATCGGAGCAGATCATTGAATAAGAAGCAAAAGTTTTAGCAATGTTTGGACTTTGATTTGATTACCATTCGAAACTCAATTAGTTTGGTTAGGGTTAGGGTTTAGGGTTAAGCTTTGTTTTATCTTCTTCTCGTTCCTGTTTAGTACCCACGTTTAAACTTCAATTTTATTTAGATATATTTTAAAATCTTATATTTGCATTTATTGATATATGAACCATATATTTATTGATTATATTCCATATACTATTACTATAAAAAAATATGCACATAAAGTCATCTCCTAATAAAGTTATTTGCATTTAATTTTGATGGAAAAGAGATTTTATTTTTTTCATAAAGATTTTCTAGCCTAAAAATATATTTAGTATAATTTTCAAAAAATAATCATATTTAATATGAATAATGACAAAATAAAAGATTTTTAAATTTCTTGCATAGTTGAAATTATTTACTCAAATTTTATTTAAAGATGTGATTTCAAATAAAAGATTAAAAAAAATCTTATTAACAGTTTCTAATCATATTAGAGAAAAGTAGAACCTAAATACTTTTAAGTCGCTTTGAAGAATGATCAAGAGATTAACCATAAGAAAGAACAAAAAATATGTGAAGAGGTGGATTCCACGACTATAGTTAGTGTGATCGATTAAAAAAATAACTTATAGTATTGAGGGATTGCATGGTGGATTGGTGCAAGTGTTACGCTTCGGAAGATAGGGACATTAATTCTACGTTGGAAAGAAAATAGAAGATTTAAAACTGAAAACGGTAGTATTGCACATCCTATTAGACATGTCTTTTTGGAAAAGAGTGATGAACTCGTGACAAATGATATTAAAGCGATCTTTTGATTGTTTGATTTTATGTCGAGCGCCTCGGTTGGTGGGATAAAGCAAAGTTTCGCTGGAACTTGGTGAAATGATTATGTGGTGGATAGCAGCCGAACATGGATTGTTTGTCGGGGGATTCCAATCCATGCAAGAAAATCTTAATCAGTCACCGTTAATACAAAGATTCTATTCTCTTCTATAAAAACAAGACAGAATCCAACAGCTAGATCCTTCCCAACTACCAATGTTTGAATCTCCTTTTGAAATAATTGCATATAATTTCTTTTTTTCAAATGACCAGAAAAAGAAGGGGCCAAGATAAAATCCTACAAGATATGACTGCCCGCATGCTCTTACCATCCAATATTACAGACTTGTGGAAGACAAATCAGCAACTCTAAAAACATGGTTCAATCTTTGTGCGTATATTCAATCTAGGGATCAACATATGAACAATTAGATATAATATCAAAAACAAATTCTTTGACTAGAGAAATAAATATTTCAGGAACAACAAATACAACAACACGTCTTTTTCACTCTTCCTATATCACACGCTTAATTTAACATTACTGTTCAAACTTCAGTTTTCTACTACTATCTTGTCTTCCGTTTCGCCAGCTGATGTTTTCCTATTTTGTGTCTCGGGCAAATCCACAGCTGCCGCTGTTGTTTCCGCCTCCGGTGCTGGTTTGGCCTCGTTCGGTTTGGCTGATTCAATGTTTCCAGGAGGAACAGACACAGGCTCGACTGGCTTTTCAGGTTCCTTGGTTTCCTGATTCTTGGTCATTGATTCAATTTCCAACTCTTGTTTAACTGTATCCGGTGATTCTTGTGGAACTGACTCCAATGTCTCCTTTTTCTCTGATAGTGTGCTGTCACTATCAGCTGTCTCCTTGTTTTCTTTCTGCAAAGAATTAACAATCATTTGCCTAACTTGTGATATTTTTCTGCTTTGCAGATTGGATCCACAGTACATCATTATTGAAAAGAATGCACATTGATGGAGGTTTACAGATAAGGATGTCTAGAATGTTTTCCAGATACATTCCAAAATGTTAGTAATCATAAAGCACTCTATAACGTCATCAATGACTTCAGTTGCAGAATATTATTCCAATGAACAGAACAAACCGGTACAGAAAGTACTTGATGGGCCAGTTCGCTAGCCTAAAAACTATTCATCTGAGGTATTAACCGTGTGAGGAATTTAATCAATCTTTTTTTCTGATTCTTGCGTTTACTTTCACTTTCTCACCAGCCAAACAGTACAAAACCAGTTATAATTCAAAGACAAAACCAAGGCAAAGCACACGTTGAAAAGACAGGACCATATTCAAATGAATGATTCCACCATCCCTGCTTTAATGGGATCACATCAACCACTAAATCAAATAGCTTAAAAAAGCTTCAAGCAGTTAACAGTTGGCTTGAAATTAGAAATAATGACCAACTGTTACCAAAAGATCTACAGCCTCATTCATCCAATTTAGTATGAATTCATTTCCATTCACAGCTAAAACCAAATTAACCAATACACTAATCTGTATTAACAAAAGAAAACCCTTTCTTCTACTTATACTACATATGCATAATGCAGTTACAGAATTAGAAACGGTACCTCTTGGAACAAGTTACTTAGAGATTGTCTCTTGCTCGATTGATCATCTTCCATGTCGTCGGTAACATCTTTGTCCTCGGCAGCCTCGTCGATAGCCAAGGATTTGATTGAAAAAAGCTCAGTGCTTCAGCTCTTAAACTGATCGTCAGTTTCATCAAGATGATGTGATTTTTTATTAGAAGTGTTAAGCAGAGACGGAGCTCTGTGTGGCCAAAGGGTCCGACGCTTGTGAAAATTTTATATATTTGATAGATTTTGATCTAATAATATTTTAATTCATATAAAAATGATTATTCAAATTAAAAAATATAAAAATTCATTAAATATTTAATTAAGTGGGACTCGAAGTAAAGAAAAATAATTAAGGATGGGTACGGGGAGGGTTGGGTCGATTTTTGGTCGTCCCGACCTCAACCCAAAAATATATACCTTATATCTGACCCCATCCCGCCCCGATGAATTTTAATTTTTCTCCCGCCACGATCCCGCTATGATTTTTTAGGTTTAAAACCAACCCCGATCCAATTCAAATATATTAAAATAATATATTTTATAGTAATATATTTTTAACTATTTATTATATTTTAAATTATTAAAATAATATATTTTATATAATTTTATATTTTTAGTAATTAAAGAATATATTTTAAAAATATAAAAATAAAAATCCCTAAGATATTAAATATTATATATGTAAAAGGAAAAATTATTAAGTCGGGTCTCGTCCCAAAATTATATACTATATAACACGTTTCGTCTCGTTCTGAACCTCAAAATATTTTTTTAAAAAAACCTCTATAGTATTAGGTTGGGACCCAGTCCAGTTGTTTTGACCATCCCTAAAAATATCTCATATTATCAATTTTTTGGTGTAATAGCAATTTAAGTCATTATTTTTTTTATTAATATATAATAAGTATAAAGTAGTATCTATTAAAAAATAATTCTCAATTATTTAACATTAATTGCTCGTATCTCTGACATTACCGGTGCTCGAATTCGAGGACCTCAAGGAATATAAATAATTTTTTTACCACCGAAGTCACAAGGGTTTGTGCAACAATTTAGGTCATTATAAGTTTAAATATTAGATAAATTAAACATTATTTTATGAATTATAAATTTAAATACTTAATAAGTTATTGTATTTTTCTTTTCGGTCTCTGTTAATATTTAATCATGGCTCCGTCTCTGATGTTCAGTATTCTACAAACATAAATTATTATTGATTAAATATTATTAAATGGATTTTTAGTTTTTTATTAATTTAAACTATACATTAAAAAGATTGAATCATATCAAATAAAAAGATCGAAATGAATAAGGAAGAAACCAATCTGCTGAAAATGAAATATGATTACCCAAATCAAATAAATATTAGGGTAAAGTCCCTCGATTATAGGACGTTGTTTTGTCGAGTCTTCGAATTATTAAAAGTTACAAAATAGTCGATTAATTAGAGGATATTGCTTTGTTGAGTCTCTCGACTATTAAAAGTTATAAAATTGTAACATGACTATTTATACGTACCAAACTCGTCATTTTCTGTTAAAAAATTGATAGGCGTTTGAGCTGGACGTTAACATACTGACTTAGATATGATAAAATTATATTTTTAATAATGTCTATTGGCATCGTCATTAACTTTTAAGTAAAGGTAAACGGAGAATCGATCTACAAAATACACTTCAAACGGATTTGATATCATATATTATCATATCACAATCAACATATTAACGTCCAACTCAAAATGTCATCAATTTTCTTATTGGAAAAAAATCCAAATTTAGAATATATGAATAATTGAGTGATCATTTTGTAATTTTTAATAGTCGTGGAACTCAATAAAACAACTTCGTACAGTTAAAGATCATTTCATAACTTTCAATAGTCGAGAGACTAAATAAAACAACACTGAATAATTAATGAACCATTTAAGTACCTTACGCTAAATATTACTAATTAACTGGAAAAAATCAATTAAATTCATAATGGTGTTTTAGTACTGGATAGGGCTTCCATAGAATATGTAGCAAGTAGCAACTGTTCATGAAGATTACTCCACCAGAATCGAATCTTCTTTTTCCATCACCAAAAACGAATTTTTATTTATTTTTTTGGTTCCACCACAGAATTCGAATCTTAATTGTGCATCGATTCGTCAAATTTATATTCTGGTAAAGGAATCTCGGAAAATTTTTGGCCTATTTCAGGTTGAACCCAATCGGAGAAATTAAACAAAGAAGAGAAGATAGAACGAAAGCAGGAAACAGAAGATGGGAGTAACAAAGGAACAAGTTGAATCTTCCTTAACTTCAAAATTGAAGCCTTCTCATCTGGTAAACCAACTTCATTTCAGCTTTCTCCAATTTTCTTATCTTTCATTCACGTTTATGTGCTTAGTTTATTCCTATCAAACTCGAAAATTTCCAGAAACCTAAAACTGGGTTCTTGGTTCTAACTTACATCATGTCTTTGTAAAGTGAAGGGCTTTACTTTTTTTCATCCCTAATCATGTTTCCACAATTAAAATGAACCCATGAACGTGCTTTTGCTTGTTACTTTTCTGCTATTTTGATACGTGTACAACTAATGCTATTTTCACATAAAACTGATCTTTCATACTCGTGGGTTGCAGGAAGTGACCGATACATCTGGAGGGTGAGCTTAATTCTGAACATTTTTCTATTGAAATTTCTGCAATAATCCATCCTTAAGTTCAAACATTTAGTAAGAGGTTGAGTGCATCAGGTGCGGTGCAAGTTTTGCAATTGAGATTGTTTCGGAACAATTCCAAGGGAAGAGGCTCCTGGAAAGGCACCGGATAGTGAATGCTGCTCTCGAAGATGAGATGAAACAAATCCATGCCCTATCCATAAAGAAAGCTCTGACCCCAGAGCAGTGGAAACAACAGCAAGATGCAAAAAAAGCTAAACCAAATGCTTAGAAAGATACTAAAGTCGTAATTCAGACAGCTAAATAAGAGTTCATGTAGCCCCATTGAGAACTCGCCCGCTATACTAAACCATCACTTTACCTTTAGCCTAAAATTTGATGTTTTTTTCCCTTAAATTTGTTTAGAATGTTATGCTGTGATTACCTTCCCATGGGGGAGTTTGTGATGCATGCCAAACTACTACTTATGTCGCATGATAGAAAAATATGGGAAAGCAATTACTATATTAAAATCAAGAATGAAGATATATAGACATTAATATGATACATGGCTCCTATTGCATGTGTGGACATGCTGATATTGAAATCCGAATTTTCTTCGGTTATCTATTTTATGTATAGTGTCTATCGTGAAATTTTGTTTGTGTTTATCCCATTCAAAAATCTTGTGCTAATAACATGTGTATCCACTAAAAAATATTTATGGATCCGTCACTGTTTACAACAATATAAAAATATGATATCTATACACAACAACAAACAAAACCCAAAAGAAAACCTTACATAACACAATATCATAAGTGAACCTTGTTTGAAACAAATACACCAAACAACTTTCCGGGTCGTTTTAGGACCTAACTCATATATCAAAGAATGAACTTCATACCTTCCAAGGGTGTGGGTTAAAAAGTGCCAGAAATATTTCATCATTTTCTTCATACTTGTTACACGTGATAGAGAAATATGGGAAAGCAATGAATATATTCAAATCAAGAATGAAAATATATCGACATTAATATGATGCACGGCTCCTTATTCTGCATGTGCATCTTAGAATTAATAATTGCAAAGCTTACGCAAAATAAAATGAAATTGATACCGTAGAATAATACCATGACTGCATTACTTTTCCTCAAACTTACCCCTCCAAAGCTCCCCCAAAACGAGGATAACATTATGCCAGCCCCATCCTATAGAAACATCATAACGCTTACACCATCAACGTTCTACGTAAGTAAAGCAACACCGATCGCTACAATGGAAAAACATGATATAAATAAGGAAATAATTAAAAACCTTAAAACTAGAATTGGTTGGTGGTTTTCAACGAGGAACACCCTTCCAAAAATAGGCGTATGCCACTTGAAGTGGAGAACACACAGTATTCTTTAGTAAAAGGCAAAAGAATAATTCGTTCTATGCTCACCACACGGCTTTGTGAGTTTTGAAGGGTGCTACTTGTTGCTTTATAAACATGAGGAAAAGCTGTTAACCTGCTTTCTCAGTGCGATGTGGGATAGTGGAACTTGACTTGTGGTAATTTCATTTTTATCGTTCCCTCCTTTTAATTTTGTACCAGGAAAAAGAAAACACCAAGCTTTTTTATTTTTTGCTACCATCTCAAAATTAAATAAGCATAAATTCTGCTCTCATGATACTAGATATATCAACTATTAATTTTTTTACTACATTTATATATTTTATTAATCGTTCTCCAATTTAGAGATTATTCAATGGTTTCTTTTGAAATTGAAAAAAAATAATATTCAGTGTCGCAACCGTCTTTCGGTTGGGTCCGGAATTGGGCTTCGACTTGAATGAAATGGGTTAGAGTCGCCACCGATCATTTTAAAACGATATTTAGGTGGACCAGACACCATTTTACCTGATCTGCGTTTTACCATAAACGTGTCGGGTTCAGGAATCAGTTACAGTCAAGGAATGATTAGCACTCTTGTACTGCCCTTTCAGTATCAATTAATTTGTCGGTTGTCTTAATTGTGAAAATTAAAATTAAAATTTAAAGACCTAATTCGAATTACTTACCATCGATTGATTAAAATTACTACTAAAAAAAGGTCAAAATATGTTAGATGGTAAAATAAAAGAAATATCGAATTAAAATTAATTAAATCAAAAGAAAAAAAATCAAAGAATGAAAAAATAAAAAAATGTTATATATAAAAATTGTTAAAAGAAAAACGTAATAAAAGAAGAAAATGTTAAATTTCAGAAGAAAATAATAAAATAAATAAACAACGAAAAATAAAAAGAATAAAAAATAAAAAATATAATAAAAATGTTAAAATAGAAAAACATAATACAAAGAAGAAAAAAATGAAACAAAATGAAATAAAAAAAGTGAAAATAAAAAAAATAAAAATAAAAGTGTTAAATTTTAAAATAAATAAATATGAGTAAATCAGAGACCCAAAAAATCAATTTAAAATAAACACAAGGATCAGAAACTAAAATAACCCATACATCATATACAGGACTAAAATGAAATAAACAAGAAACATGGAGGACTAAGTAACGATTAAACCATATGCAAAATAGTGATTAAAATGTAAACGTGATAAAATACAGGATCAGATTTAAAAATCATTAAACATAGCATAGTAATTAAATTAGTGATTGAAATAAAAACATAGAAAAATAAAGACTGAAATTAAAATTTTAGAAAGTTGCATTAGTATTTAATTGGGAAGATTACAAAACGAGGGGACTAAACCTACTATTTCCCCATGTTCGAAAACACAGAGAGGGGGAGGCTGAAAATGGCGTCGTTTTGGCTTAATTATTTAAGCTCATTTTGACAATGCATGAGACCCAAGTCTCTCATTTTTATCCCCTTTCGTTTATATAGAAAGGGGGGAGAGGTTTCTGAAAACCCTCTCTCTGAAACTATCACTAGTCCCCGGGTTCGTCGCGAACATCGCCTTATACCGTCGTCAACCGCCGCTCGCCAGCGACGAAGAGGACGAGACGACCACCAATCGACGCGTCTTTCCTTCCTCAGCACGGATATGGGGTTTTATTTTTAAGAAAACGAGCTGAAGTTGACAAATCAAGGTCGAAACGATTCGACTTTCTTACCTTAAATCTTTCTTCTGGTCAATGGAGCAGCTGTTGGTGGAGGCACGAAGGTAAACTCTTTTTTTCCTTTTTCTTTCTGATGTTCCTCTGTCGTTTTCTCTCTCGTTTCGTATTTTTTATCCCCGAAATATTTTGTCCTTTCTGTAGGATTTTTCTTCTTTATTTATAGTGCCTCTATTTTTAGGGAGTTTTATTCCGAGTGAAATACTCGGTTTACTGTTATTTGTTTTTTTTTGGTGTCCCACTAACACATGTTGTTGATGGCCGAGAAAATTGGCGGTAGTTGCGTGAGTGGCGGGCTGGAATGGCACTGCGAAGGGAAGAGGCATGCGGCGTTGAAGGATTGGCTTGCTAGGGTTCTGGAAACCCTAATCTTTCGGGTTGGGTCGAGCTTTGAGGACGGTTTGGGTTGCTGGTTCCTAGGTCTGGATCGCGAGTCATAATCTGGTTGTTGTGTAGTGGTCTTGCTGGGTTTATGTTTTATTATTGGGCACAAGTAAGACGAAAATATGGGTCTACAGCTGCCCCTCTTTGTCCTTTTTCGTGGAACGAAAAATAAGAAAAAGATAAAAGGACACAAATTTTCGTTCAGTGAAGTTGAAAATTGACTCTAATATTTCAATTAAGAAAACTCTTTGTCGAATTGAGTTGCAGATATCTCCTCCGTCGCGAAGTCGAGTCTATCTTGAAATGAAATTGAAGTCGTAGCTCGGAACTTGAATCGGAATGTGGCTTCTCGTTTCCAAATTGTAATCAACTTCAGTCTTCTTCTTGTTTTAAAGATCTTGATTTAAAAATTCGACTGGAAAATAGTTCCTTGACTCCACCCTGTGGTTGATAGGCCCTCGAGCTAAACGAAATCGAGCTAAAAAATCTTCGTCTGGAAGATGGTTTCTTGTCACTAAAGCACAGCCAACACATGTCTTCTTCTTGACTTAAAGACCTCGATTTAAACTTTACCCAGAAAATAGTAGATACATCGTCGAGCTGAATGGAATCGAACTAGAAAGTTTTTATTGACAGATAACCCTTCTCGCCTTTGAGTTATGTTGTCCAGAAGTTTAGAGATTGCCCAGATCTTCTTCTTGACTTAAAGACCTCGGCTTCAACCAGATAGTAGTTTCTTGATGCGTCATCGAGTTGAATGGAATCGAACTCGACAATTTCGTTGACAAATAGCTTTTCTCGACTTAAGTTATGCTGTGAATTTGACATGCCCTTGAGCTGAATAAAATCGAAATCGAAGGTATTTTTCGACAGATAACTCTTCTCGCCTTGACTTATACTGTAAATTGGATATGCATTTAAGCTGAATGTAATCAAACTCGAAGGTTTTTTTGTTTACAGATAGCCCTTCTCACCTTGAGCTATGTTGGAAATTTGATGTGCCTTTTAGCTGAGTGTAATCGAACTCGAAGGTCTTTTGTTGACAGATAACCCTTCTCACCTTGAGCTATTTTGTAAATTTAACGTGCTTTTGAGCTGAGTATAATCGAACTCGGAGGTCTTGGTTGATGGATAACCCTTCTCGCATTGAGTTATGTTGTACTGGATATGCCTTTGAGCTGAATGTAATCGAACTCGAAGGTCTTTTGTTGACAGATAGCCCTTCTCGCCTTGAGCTATATTGTAAATTTGATGTGCCTTTGAGGTGAGTATAATCAAACTTGAAGGTCTTGGTTGACATATAACCTTTCTCGCCTTGAGTTATACTGTACTGGATATGCCTTTGAGCTGAATGTAATCAAACTCGAAGGTATTTTGTTGACAGATAGCCATTCTCACCTTGAGCTATGCTGTAAATTTAATGTGCCTTTGAGCTGAGTGTAATCGAACTCGAAGGTCTTTTGTTGGCAGATAACCCTTCTCGCCTTAAGTTATCCTGCGAATTTGATGTGCCTTTGAGCTGAATGTAATCGAACTCGAAGGTTTTTTGTTGACAGATAACCCTTTTCGCCTTGAGCTATGCTGTAAATTTGATGTGCCTTTGAGCTGAGCTAATCGAACTCAAAGGTCTTGGTTGACAGATAATCCTTCTCGCCTTGAGTTATGTTGTACTGGATATGCCTTTGAGCTAAATGTAATCGAACTCGAAGGTCTTTTGTTGACAAATAACCCTTTTCACCTTGAGCAATGTTGTAAATTTGATGTGCCTTTGAGCTGAGTGTAATCGAACTCGAAGGTTATTTGTTAGCAGATAACCCTTCATGCCTTAAGTTATGCTATGAATTTGCTGTGCCTTTGAGCTGAATGTAATCGAACTCGAAGGTCTTTGTTGACAAATAGCCCTTCTCGCCTTGAGCTATCCTGCTAATATTTCCTTTAAGTGAAAAATGGATCCCCTTCACGGGTCTAAGTCGGTCATAATTCTTCAG